GCTCAAAACAGAAGACAATCATGATCATGCCAATAATAATAACAACAATATGGAGAATGATACGAAGCCACTTGTCGACATGGATCATCCTTGCAACGGGTCGGGCCTTAGAAGTTCGTGGCTTCACAGGAAATCCAAGAACACTGAAGTTGATGTTCGGATCATAGACGACGAGGTTACGGTTAAGGTTGTTCAGCAGAAGAGGATTAATTGTCTGCTCTTCGTGTCTAAAGTTCTAGACGAGCTTCAGCTCGATTTACATCATGTTGCCGGTGGGCTTATCGGTGATTATTACAGCTTCTTGTTTAACTCCAAGGTTTTCGAACTTTTGTCCTTTTATGAATAGAAGTTTTTTTATTTTTTTTTTATTTTTAGTTTTAGTTTCTTTAATTGTTTTGATATTTGTTATGGCAGATTTGTGAAGGTTCAATTGTGTATGCAAGTGCCATAGCTAACAAGCTTATTGAAGTTGTGGATAAACACTATGCAGCAGCTGTTCCACCAACAAACAGTTATTAGGTACGTAAAATTCGAGTCTCTTAGCTTTTAGCGGACATGGCCAAACTGGCCGAATGCATTTGGGCCCGGTGACTGATGAAAACCGGAGCCTAAATCGGAAAATTACACGGTCGGGTTGTGGTTCAAACTTTTTTTGCCATTTTCGTACGGGAAAGCTGCTCATGTAGTTTAGCTTAAATCATAAAATTAATTTTTGTGTGAAATTTTGATTGAAAAACAAAAATATGTGAATTTGTTTTTAAACAAATATGCCATATTTTTTTATCCAAATGTCATACATTAAAAAAAAAAACAATTTAGACAAAATTAAACATATTTCACATTCAGATGTCATATATTAGAAAATAATATAAATTAAAGTGATATTTTCTTATATAAAAATCTACTTCTGTTAAAAAAAAGTATCATCCTAGAAATTGTGTTGTTTTTGGTAGTAGAATTATATTCAGGGGTAGTATTGTAATAATTCCTCCCACACTTTAAAGATAAATTAATTATTAGGGCGTTGGCTGTACTACAGCAGGGGTAATATCGAGTCAAACATGTACACATTTACAGTTCCTACTTCCTATATATGACCATGCAATATCAGTCTTTGCCTCCCAACAGAAAAGTACAATCAGTTAATATATGCAATCACTGTCTCTTTTTTATTTTTTATTTTTTTTATCATTTTTTGTCTACTATATATATTCAGTAGTTATTAACAAATATTTTTTTAATGTTTTTGCAGAAAAATTGGAGGCCCTTTTTCTCTATATATAATATAGATAGATGGTTAAGCAGTAACTCTGAATCAACTAGGGTTTTATTGTTATTTCAAGAAGATTGTCCCATATTTGATAATTAGAAATTTTATGAGGAGAACCAAAAAAACTTGACTGTTGCAGAATTTATATATATTTATTTTCCAAAATTTCAGCATTATTTATTTCATATATATATAATAATGCCTTGATTTTGAATTCA